GAGGGTTAAAAATCATTAAAATTTAGAAAAAAGACAGAAAAAAATCAAGGAAAATAATTGCCCCAGAACGCGGTGTAAGCTTGAATTCACAGTGAAGTACCCCTCCCCGAAATCACCCTTCTTTGGTCTCACGCCGACGCCTCCGTCCACAGGGCCTGTTCTCCCGCATCACGTTCCGCGAGCCGCTGTTCCTCGGCGGCCCCGGCAACACCACGGGCCTGGCCGGCAAGCTGCCCGTCGACCGGGGCCTGCGGGGCTGCGTCCGCCACGTCGAGGTGAACGGCCAGGTCTACGACCTGAGCGAGGACGCGATGCAGGGCTTCGACGTGGGTGAGTCCGCCTGCCAAAGCAAACGCCCCCCACCCCCGGGGGGTGTCCCGTGCGCGCCGAGGCATAGCGGGGGGTCGCCCCGCTCAGAGGAAAACCATTTCAGGTCCGATTTCATCAAAACTCGGAAAATGTAAGGCTATTTGAATAGAAGTCGGATGGCGTTTGAATTTTTTTCCTGAACTATATGTAGCGAAACGGACAAAGTTTTGGTAAGGGTTACAAATCTAACTGTAAAGTTCAGGCAAATTTCAATTGCCATCCGACTTCTACATACACCTTCAAATTTTTCGAGTTTCAACAGAAGTCGGATTTTTACACCTGAAAAGGTTCGTCCTGGACGAGTTGTGTATCCTCCAGCGATTGCGATGCTTTACCTGACGCTCCCCTTGCAGACGAGTGCCGCGCGGACCGGTGCAGCAAGGTGCCCTGTCGGCACGGCGGCACGTGCGTGACGGAGCGCGACGGCCCGGCCGTGTGCCTGTGCCCGCTGGGCTACTCGGGCGAGCTCTGCGACACGCGCGTCGACCTGCTCGTGCCCTCGTTCAACGGCTCCAGCTACCTGCGCTACCCGGGCCTCGGCGACACGGCGCTGTCCTGGCTCGACCTGCAGCTCACGCTCAAGGCCACGGCCGCGGACGGGCTCGTCCTCTACAACGGGCACCGCGCCGACGGCCACGGCGACTTCATGGCGCTCGCGCTCGTCGACGGCCACCTCGAGTTCAGCTTCGACCTCGGCACCGGGCCCGCCACCGTGCGGTAAGTAGAGATGTGAAACTGACAATGTTCGGTGTAAAATCAAAGGAACTTTATCGCATTTTCGTTTTACTTTTTTTATTCAAACATTGTAAAATCATGCATTTTTTATGTGTTATTAAATAATTTTGTGAGAATCAAGCTCGCGATCTGTGAAATCCGAGCCCGTAGACGCTTCCTGCGTTTCGAACTTCGTTTTTCTCGCGCAAAGATTGCATCGCATAACTGGATACCTTCCCCTTGGTGCGCAGGACCCCTCCCCCCTTTCCCAAATCCCTGCTGCCCCGCCGGTTGCCTCCAGAGAGCCCGGCGGTGACACTGAGGATTACCCCCTTCCCCAAACACCCACGCCCCACCACCACCACCACTTC